TCTTTACAAATTGTTGGCACTATTCATCAAGTTTTTAAACATTTGTCATCAGGAAGTTTTTAATCGTTTAAATATAATATATTAAAATAAAATGTTTTAATAAAGAGTTCGGCTGAATGGATTCGAAAACGGTAAAACTCAACTGTTTAACTCTAGGGGAGTTGAAAAATTAGCCTATTTTAAAAAATAGTGGAGTGTTCCTTTAATGGCATCCATTAACCTCGGTAAAGTCACAGTAACTTTTCTAAGTTTTTAAGTTTTCATTTAATTTTTTTATTTTATTTCAGTTTATTTTTTACAACACTTTAACTCTCTCTATATATATATATATATATATATATATATATACATACATACATACAGTTGTATATATATGATTTCTATTAATCTCATTGCTGATTAAGAGCTTGAGGATTAGCTGTAGTATTTTCAGATGTAGATGTTTTATGGGTGAAGTTTCACAGCATCCTCATATTATGAAGTTAATAAGAATATTAAAAGCCGCTTTCGATCTTTTGAAGGACCCCCGGATTGAGCCTGCCCTGACAAATGCCACATGCTGCCCAAAAAGAGTAATTAACAACAAACTAATCAACCCATCACTCAGGAGGCCAAACCCATACGGCATATCCCACAGGTGCTCTCTTCTTTCTTATTATATGTGTATTTATGTTATATTATATGTGTATAAAATCTGTAATTGATTTGCATAAATGCAGAGAGAGAACAGATAGGGCTGTGAACAGGAAGAGGCCTGCGAATGCAACTTCTCGAGCATACAGAGCCTGGTTTCAGTGGTGGAGGTGTCAACTATCAATGGATGATTATCTTGACTACATTTCCAGTCAGGCAAGTTTATAATAGGAGTGTGTGTTTATGGGTAATAAATGCTAGATATATTCAGGATTTGTGGACTTTAACAGTTGTGTTTGTGTTATATGTGCCCTGGTTTTGAAGGACTCCGATTATCTGTCAGTGCTGTTTCACTTGTATGACAGTGATGATGATGAAGAGGCAGAGAGACACAAGCTGGCTCAGCTGCAGCAAGACGAGAGGAGAAGGTCTGGAATTTTTTTGCTTGTTTGTTTATCCTCCCACATTTACTCTGAGAATGATGCATGATGACTTGCACTTGGTTAGTCTCTATAACTGATGTCAAATGTTGAACATCCATGAAACATCCCTTCGACTTCTTACACTGTGACCGTCAACAAATGGCTAAACACCAACATTTTAATTATTGTATATTATTATATTGTTATTTTATTGATATAAAGTTAAGCTAATTTTTATCTGATCATCACCTCTTTCAGAAGGCAACAGGAAAGGATCAGTTCACTTAGGAGACAGAAACAAGAATGTGTTCCTGGATTCTGGAACATCAACACCATAGAGATGGGAGGATTGGGAAGGGAACCAGAACTGGATGGCATGTTGTAGTTTTCTTAAAAAAAAAAAAATACTGGTACATTTATGAAAATGCATTATTTAGTGTCAAAAACGACATGAATGAATGTAGAAATATCTGTGTTTCAGAGAAAAATCCAGAAGAGGAAATACAAGATGCAGTGAGTTCATGTTCCTTTCCTCATAATATAACACAGCACTTCTGTTTTCCACTGATTACTCCTTTCGTCTATCATTTCATGTCGCTGTTATTTTTAGTACAGGCTTCTGTTTAGCAGAAAGAAGTACAGTCACTTTTTTTGTATAATAGATAGGTAGGTAGACAGAAAGAGAGATAGACAGACTGGCAGGTAGATGATAGCTAGGTAGACAGACTGACTGATTGATTGATTGATGTTCTTCAGTCTGAGGGAGATGAAGGTGAAGGTGCTGGACTGCTGGATGGAGAACAGATGCAGGTCAGGCTGGAGAGGGTCTGGAACGCCCTGCTTCTGCCAGAAGGACAGCGACTAGACATGGCCATTAAATACAGCTCTCATGAGTACAGGAACCATCTGCAGGAGGTACAGATAATGATAATGAACTCTCCTGGCTTTCCATCATGATCATCTAGGATTTATGTTGTCATGTGGATGTATTTGTGCCTTCAGGCAATTGCTGCATGGGAGCAGGCTGCTCGGTTGATCCAGAAGAGAGAGCTCTTGCTCTCCAAGTTGGAGGACTTTGAGAGGGAGGCATCTGACCCCAACAGATTTTTCCAGCGAGGTACATCAGAGGCACAGAATAATGAATTCTGACCCTTGAAGTCTACATTTACAGATTTAGAGAGATTCTTTTGAATAAAAAAAAATCGTGACTCTAATATAGATTCATTGCAAATACACAGGTTATCATGGTTCATCCATCGCTAGAATGGAAGAGGCAAGTCAAAGAGAGAAGCTCAACTCTCAGATTTCAGTTGTAGACCAAGAACTGTCCAAGACTATGGGCCACATCACCACCCGTTTCAATGACAACATCAGCTATAAGGTGAGTGCATCAAAGCTTGGTTGCACGCCATTGGTTATCTGCACCAGAAACTCAGCTGTTTATCATTTTCACTGCTGTTTTGGTTGTCACAGGGTCGGCCGTACAGAGAGAAGATGCGCTGGGACCGTACTGAGATGCTGTACTGGCTGCAGCAGGAGAGGCGGGTCCAGTCGCTGGAGATGTTTGTAGATGGACGGATGGCTCTGCCTGTAAGGCTTCCTCCTCTGAGCCAAAGCCAGGAGCTTCACTCAGACAACCATCAAACCCTCCAGGAACAACCTCTGTCACACTGTGAGAGAAATGGCCAATTACTGCAACACTGCCAACTCTAAAAGATATACCAATGTAGTCCAAATACTAGCAAATAAAGCAAGACCTGTCAGTTTTTATAGACCTGTTTCATTTTGATTATTGGTTTAGTATATTCTTACTAGTCGCTAAAGGACTTTCTGACTCTGAAAAGGAATGCTTTTTTTTGGCAGCTTAGAAATAAAATCAGAAATGATACCGTTCTGAAATGTGTGGTGGTGGGGGCGGGGGAATTACATTTATTACATTGTTTTTTTGTGAAAATTAGCATTTTGTTTTAGTGTGTATATTACACACACTGCAGTGCATTCTAAAATAATTAAAATAGAACTAACAATAACAATGTGAAGTAATCATTTCCAAAAATAATTGCATATTAAATACATATTGTATTACACACCAGACATATTATTCGTTTTTATTAATATTTTGAATGTTTTTATTTTGACATTTTCAGTTTACATTTTAATTTGACTTCGTTTTAGTAATTTCGTTGTGCTTTGTCATTTTTTTATTCTTTTAAACTTAAATAAAATGTTTGTTTTTTTACGTTGTATTTTAGTTAATGTCTATTTTATTATTATTTTAAATAACAAAAGTGTTTTTGAATGGTTTTAGCTTTAGTTAAATATAACCCTGCTACACTCTACATTCAGTAGGCAAATGTAATTATATGTAGTGTAGAAATGACAAATGAAGAATGATAGTATTACACTAATTATGTAATATTTAAACTAATAAACTTGGACAGAGGAAATATGTTGTCTTTTCATCTTGCAACACATATATCAGAAAATTAACAGATTATGTGCTTACATCCAGTTACCCTTCACAACAGAATTACTGTACTGTGCTATTTAATATGCAACAATCACCTTTTTAACGTAACTAACTAATCTTTCTTTGTTTATTTGTTTGTTTGTTTCTATAATATATAAGACGTTTCTAAATATGGTATTTTATTTATCCATACCTTTATTTGCGTTTCGTGAGGTGTTGTTTCACTTACTCCCAGTAGTTGGCAGTGCGCTCTTTCCCGTTTGTTAGTTTGTCTCCAGTCCGCTGAGGAGAAGAGGAGATTCGCGGCGCTCTGATTGGCTGTGCTCACAGCACGTGTCATCTTTTCTGTTTCTCGACGTTTCCTGTCAAAATGTCAATTTGGGAATCATACGTCTCTCCGTTTTCAGAATATCTCTAAACGAGATGACAGCGAATAATAAGGAATCGGCGGGTATGTCATTTCATTTGTGTGCTTAACATTTCAAACTCCGGCTTAAACGAGCAGAATTAGCCTATTATTTTATGCAGTCTTAGCTGACCAAAACCACACCAATGGTCCAATGAGCTGCCTCTTAAAAATAATAAACATATAAATCGTTATCGCTATAAATATATGCAATTTATTTACAGATAACTTATTTAGGTACGTTTAGATAATTCGGTCTGCAGTGGCAAAACAGCACATTATATGGTAAATATGAGACAGTGTTTCCGTATGAAGCGTCAGTTAAATCATCTTACTTTATTTCCATTGAAAGAGAACGTTTGTAGACAGCTCTACAGAGTTAAACGGACATATTTTGAAGTATTAAAAGTAAACAGTGTCCATAAGCAAAGCCTTGCTCTCAGTGATATCCATCAGCCACTTTCCCCTGAACCCCGTCTGTCCTGGAATACGCCTGGATCTCTCTGTGAACGTCCACAGGCAGTGTGTTTGCTCGGATTTTGGAGATTTCTATGATGAAATACACGCTGGCTGTGGCACTCGGGTTGGGATGCTCCATTTGGTTTCGTACTGGTACTGCGTTTTAAACTCCAGCTCGGTCTCCTGGAGAAACCTCAGACTGTAGAGCCAGCCGGGCTGCTGTATCTCCCATGTGTCCATGTATCGTCTGATCTGTTGCTCTCCGATCTCGATTGTGAAGTCTTTGCACGAGATCCAGTCGATGTTTGTGATTTTATGCTCACATTGTGCGATATGTGTGCTGTCCGTCTCCATAGCTGTCAGCGGTTGTGGTATGTTGACGTCGGTTTCCATGGTGATGACCGACAGGCAGTGTTGCCAACTCGTTTTCAGGGGAAGTTGCTAAAGGAAGGTCAATTTGTTGCTTAAAGTTGCTAATCATTACACGGTGTTACAAATTTAGCTATTTTTAAATTTTATTTGGCTGCTTTATTTAATATATATAAACTGCTTTATATAAACTTTATTTGACATTACGTAATTATGACGCAAAATTGTCACTATACAAAATAATATAACGTAATATAATATTAAAATATAAATAACTGTATTTTTAAATACAACATTGAATTTTTGAACACTTGCACATTTTTGAACAATTGGGGCTTACAAGTTAAGGGTTTTTATTAGCTAGTAAACTAGGGCACGATCTACTATGTTAATATGAAGGAATTTTCCTTATTGATTTTTCACCTGCATTTTAAATTACGCATTGTATTTTGTGTTTTCGGGTTACAATGGAGAATGTCCTGGAAAATTACTAGTAGCTTTTCCATTTTTCTAGATATTTTTCTTACAGTGTACTAACTGATCAACAATCACAGGTACAAGCTACTAACGAGGTGTATCATAAATGAACAATTATTCAATTATTATTATTAAATTGAGCAATTGCTAATAGCAGCTAACTTAATTCACGTGATGTGTGTACTGCTAGGCATCTTTGGTTTACTCATTTTGCGTAATTTAGATGGAAAATGTGTGCCTATTTATCGTCTTACCTCACTTATCAAAAGTTGCTAAAAGTAGCCAAATAAAATGTAAAAATAGCTAAATTTGTTGCTAGGTGCTTTTGGAAGAAAAAGTTGCTAGTGTAGTGTGAAAAGTTGCTAAATTTAGCAACAAAATTGCTAAGTTGGCAACTGCTGACAGGTTGCATTGGCTCTTGCACTAAAACGCGATTGTAAAAGTACTTTTAGATTCCACTCTGTATTTTTTTTATTTTCTCTCCGCGTTTAAAATTTGGATGACATTCTTTCTTCTGTGGAACACAAAAGAAGACATTTCGAAGAAGTCACTTTTTCATGTTTAGTTGAATGATTGGAGACTTCAAACTTAAATATGACTCGTGCACTATATTTCACGTTTTCTAGTCATATGTATCAGCAACAAACCGAAAGTTGAAGTTGTTATTCATAGAAAATGTCAGCCTTCGGTGAGCTGTTAACTACTGGGAGTTCGTGAGTTTAACTGTTTCACGAATGAATCATTCAGACCGGTTTTGTGAACTGAATCAAATGATTCATTGAAAAGATCTGACTCAAAAGAACAATCCGTTCACTAACTTGGCATCTTACTTCTCTCATTTGTTCTGACGACTTTGAATATAACGCATGAGAAATAAAATATATTTTGCATACCAAAAAAAGAAGCCTATTTTCAGCCTTTTTTGACCCAATTGCATAGCCTACTGTTGCAGCCATTTTGTTTTTAATTGCATAGTGGTTATATTTATTTTAGTTTCTTTACGGTAATTTAGAATTTAGGTAAATTTAGCATCTTTTGTTTGTTAAACATTTTTTATACTTTATTATAGTAATGAGAATTAGTTTGAAATAATGTTGGAAAAGTATCATGAAAATTAAGCACTCATTGCGCTCATGCTTCATTAATGAGGCCCATTGTCTTTATGCAGAAAATACCTTCCTTTTATGACATCTTATTCACTTTGAATATTAAATATTGTGATTACATAGTGTTCCTATGCAGTTGCTTAATGGTCCTGACTGTTTTTAGCACAATGTTATGCAGTTGCTAGGATTTTATGGATGGTTTCTTACTGATGATTTCTTAATATTAAACATTATTAATTTAATAAAAACAATCTTTGTCATTACAGGTTGCCTTTAAAATGAGAAAATCCTCCTACCTCATGTATTATCATGGAGTCCTTATCTAGTGGATGTGAAATGTCTAAAGCTTTGACTGAGCTCTGCAGGGCTCAGCAGCTCTGATGCCCAATCCACACACGTGATTGTCCTCAAGGAATATCCCAGAATTCCCTCGAGTAACCTCACCGCATGTCGCGCATCAGGAGCACACTGGACACCGTTACCAAAGCCGTGAGCGGAACGGTGAACACCGACCTCCTCGCCAAGATCACACGCCTCAAACCCAGTGCGACCCAGGGCAAAACTATAGAGGTTAAAGTGGAATGCCCCGAGGCAGAGGCCGGAGCTGTCATGACCATGGCGGCACCTGAGCCGCCCAGGGAGAAAGAGGTGAAAAAAGGCATGGAACTTCATAAAGAAGCCCCAAAATCTATCAGCAGTCTGTCTAGCAGCACAGGAAACACGACCAGTGTGGCTGCAAAGCAAACGCTGCAACGTTTTCAGCCCGCATCCTTCACAACCAACATGGATGAAATGTACAATCACCTGGCTGAACATGTCAATGCCTACTTTGGAAGTGACACGCGAGATAACAAAATATCACAACGGGTTAGAGAAGACAAAACATCCTCGACATCTCAGATCCAGCCTAGTGCTCTTCCAAAAAGTAGCAAGGATGATATCCTAATGGTGGTGCCTGTGTCCCATAAATCCACACCAGAAACGCCCCCTGCGATTGACAAGAATGGCTCCGTCCCAAGTCCAGAAGCCTCTTCTGCTCCAGCTCAGGATGAGGGTGTTTCAACCATCCCCATATCGCCAAGGAAAGGCATCAGTCATTACCTGTCCTACCCCAGGCCCAGCGTCCAGGCTTTTGTAGGAAACTACATCGCTCCTCTCGTACCAAAGTTCAGAGCGGCTCCAAAGAGTGGCACAGCAGAGAAGGAAAAACCCTCTGGATCTGAACGGGCTGCGTCCCAGGATGCAAAGAGTGCAGAAAGCAAGGAGCAAAAAGAGGCAGAAGAGAAAGCACAGAGACTGCTGTCTCAGAGGCAGAAGGTAGAATAATATCCCTGTAAATATAATAGAATATGTTTAATGGGGTGGGGTGGGGGGGGTAAAAGCATTGTGTTTCAAACAGCTTTTTATTGTTTTATTTTAACGTGGAATGAAATGAGGTCCTACAAGTTGGCAGAATTTTCTTTATGTAAAAATAAATAAATAAGATTGTGTAAATTATGTATATTACTTCCTATGTATGTTGGGGGTGGGGG